GCGAAAGCCAGATGGCTGCGGAAGGAAACATACAAGCAAGTGTATGTACACGCAAATGAATATGTGAAGCACAAACGAATGGATAAAGCAGCAGTCAAACAACCAAACAAACAAATAGACACAAAAGCGAATTCTGACCTTCTTATGTCTGCCTCCTTCACGTTGTCAATAGCTCGGCAAAACTCAGCAGGGGATATTACGCGGCCGCTCATCAGCAACTGGCGGCCTGAAGCGAAAACACTCTGCTGTTGTGCTGCTGCCGCTGCAGCACTCTTGCTGTAGCACTGCTGCAGCACGCCCGCTACTGTTGCTGCTGCTTTTGTAGCTGCTAAGGGAGCGGTGCTGCAGCTGCTAACTCGTCATAAACTATGCTCTGCTGCTGTGCTGTTGCCGTCACAGCACTCTTGCTGCAGCACTGCTGCAGCACGCCCGCTACTGTTGCTGCTGTTTCTGTAGCTGCTAAGAGACCGGTGCTGCGGTTCCTAACTCGTCATAAACCATAAAGTCCTCCAAATCTGCATTCGCGGAGCCCCTGACCCTTCGTTTGGCCACGTACCTATGTCTTCCATAACAATGCCTCTGTTTTCTAAGTTCATGTAAATGGAACTCTTTATTGAGTTTTTGGCTCTCTGCAACTCCTCGGCAGTCACACGTGTCATTCCCGCAAACTGTTCCGCCATCACCTTCACAGCACTTGAGGCCTGAAAAAGGCAAACAGCATTTAATGAGTCGTGCGCATGGTCATTTGCCACTTGGTTTTCACCTAAGCTGTGACTGCAGCTAATCAGCAAAAAAGTGCGGGTGTGCGTAAGCCCAAGCAACGGTGTACGTACAGCCGAGCTACCCAGCTTACCTTGTTCGGGTTGGCCAGCATGTAAAGGCCAAAGAGGCCGGTGTCTGTGTATTGCGTGTTGAAGGCCATGGCGCTCTCGACCCAGTCATACTTGTTCAAAACGTTCAGGTATAACCGGGTGTACATACCCTTCCCTGGACCTCCAGTGCTGAAAGCCCCGCCCCCTCCCATGAGAGTCTGCAGGACGCTGTAGGTCACCAAGTCCCCCCCGTTCCAGCCCCCAGGCTTTGTTGAAAATTGCCAATAAGTAGTTGTTTCGCGCGTCCAATATCATTAGTTTACAAAGAAAAAGAGACACACAGATAATGCCACACGCACACCCACGCACACACACACAAGCACACACATGCAAAAGAATATTGGTATGCAAACAAAGCGTTACTCTCATGCATTAGTACATTTTTAGGTTCAGCAGAAATGCCTCTACATGCAAGATATTCTGCATGTAGAATTCACGCAAAACAAATAGGTACAAGTTATAAGTTGTAATCCAAATTGCGACAAAACATAAAAATGGGAGATGCTGACTTGAATCAAGCAGGTATTCTTTCTTACCGTTTCAAATGCCACAGCAATATGTGCATGCGGCGCCAGCGCTTCAACTCTGCTGTCTCCTCCAGTATATATTGGCTGGATATATTTTCGCGGTTTGTTTGGGACAGCATTATAGTCTACAAAGGCCCTCATTACCCAACGGCTGAATTCCTCATGGTTTACGTTCACGCCCACGCAGACCATGTTTTCTGAGATACACAAATGGAACAGTCAATATGCCAGAAGTGCGTCCCACATAAAATTCGTGTTCCTATTCTTGTATAATACGAACAATTTTGTTACGAAATAAACGAACGCCCACGCATGCCATGTTTTTCTGAGCCGAACAAATGGCGAAAACAGTGAAACGGTCAAAATTACTACTGGCCGTTCACGTTGCTGTTCTTGTACAAATACACGATAATGTTATACTGCGAAGTAAAATTATTGCTGGCCGTTCATGTTGCCGTTTGTGTACAAATATAGGATAATATTATATTGCGAAGTAAATGAAACGGAAGTTAACAGCATGATAAGACACGCGACGCTCTAGTTAACAGCATGGATACTTGGAAGTTTAGCGTGTTCCACTGTGTCGAAGTTTAGCACTTAGGGTTTAGGGTTTACCTGGGGAAAAGTGGTCGAGTATGAACTGCCGAATGGTGTTTGCGTCATAGTGCTGGAGGCTTTTTTCTGTGGCGAAGAGCTTAAGCCCGAGGGTGTTGTTATGCCAAGCAGTTTGGTGCAGCATCTCAGAAACGCACTGATCCGGCTGGCTTTCTATTTTTTGTTTCATTTGAATCAATTTATTTTTGTTTGCCGAGATTTCCCACGGCAGCAAACGGGGAAACAAGACGTTTCCAGTCAACAGCGGCAGCAACAGAGGCATCTTCTCGCGCACGCACTCGGCGCTATACACGATTTGCTCCCTGAAAAAAACACTGACAGGTAACACTTGAATCTGAACAGCACCCTGTAATCGACAGCGAAAAACGTTAGTATTTCTGCATTCGCTTAACTACATGCGAACAGAGATCTATTATTTTGCTTTGTCGTTTTTGCGGACAATCAAAACAATGGAAGTTTTCATTTCTTCTTACCTGCCCGCCACGCAAGCTGCAGAGGCTCCCAAAACTTCTATTGTTTTGATTGTCCGCAAAAACGACAAATGGGCAGTTGAATGGAAAGCCAGCAGCTGCAGCATGTGGCTTACTCCGCTGTTGCTCACATCTTCCCAGCGGCTCCCTATAAATAAGCATACGTAGACTAATATGACTACATTAGCTCCTTACATCATCAACGAAGTGGCTTTGTGTGCAAAACAAAGCAGAGGCAAGAAACGAACAGCTGCAGCACCAGGCTCGCGCCGCTCCCATAGCTCCTTATGAATGTGTAATTACTACCTAAGGAACTGGCTCAAATTGGCTTTTTTAGTTGTTTGACCACAGCATCAAAATATTGATGAAGCTAAAAACGGACGCAGAGCAAGGAAACGAAAAAAAAATCAACCGACGACTTGACAAGAAGAAATAATGCGAAAAGGATAAGCCTACCGGTGTTGACGAACAAACCCAGAGAAGAAACCAAACCTCCTCTGTCTACAGAAGCAATCCGAAGGCCATTGTCCAGTTTGGAGTACTCAACCGCGCCGCTCGGCTGGACATATTCAGGAAACTCATCCTGCGACAAAAACACACGAATGACACTTGATATTTAGTAAAATTGAATGTTTCGTTAGTAATCCGTTGGCTTCTACGCATAAATTCTGGAGTACTGATATATATACTGATATATGTGCAGCCAGCGAACTTGAACGTTGAATTGCTTGGTGCGCAAGGCCCCCTCAATGCCTACAGTTACAGAAAAAAATACAGGAGTATCAACAAGGAGAGAAACACAAACACACGCTAAACACAAATGGACACAGTTCAGGGACAGAAACGAGAACAGAAACTCAACAAAAACGGACATGACCGGACATAGTTGCCTATAACATAACGATTATTAGCTAACCGGATTAAGTATGGGCTGGTCCATGGGCACGTCCTTGTAAGGGTACGCGGAGGGCGCCTCATTGCCAATGTAATAGTACTTGAAGTCAGGCACCTCCTGCATAACCAGAGAGAGGTCTTCCCGCACAAACGGCACGCGGCGGTACTGCGGCTGCTGCCCTGCTGCTACTGCTGCTGCGGTCGGTGCAGCAGTTGCTGTCGTCTGTGGTGGGGCCGCCGTTGCCAGTGGCCTTTGAGAAGCTGAGAGGCTACCGCGGTTAAATATTGCATTCAATTTATTTCTAATTAATGAATTAAGCGGCAAAGATGATCCAGCCTCGCCCGAAGTCGACGCAGACTGGACGGCCAACCGCCGGAAGGCGGACAGCACCCCCAACGCCATTCTCTCGATGCTCTGAAATCAGCAAGGCTTCGCTTTCTGTCTATCTCCTCTCCCCCCTACAAAATTGAACAGTAATAAGCAGCCACGAAACTGCCCAGAAAACCAGCCGCGGCAGCAGCCACTGCAGCCACTGCGGCTGCCGCTGGCTGCATGCAAACGCCGCAAATATGTCCTTCTAAGGTGACCTATCGCTGCCTTTCTCTCTACTTGCTTTTTAGACACAAACTGCAGTAGGAAAGGCTAAGACCGGGAATGCCGAGAGTGTGTTCCAAGCAAATCTCAGCAAACTCGCACACGCACTCCGACACCAGGTTACAAGCTGACTTGACCATGGGTGTATCGATATCCATGTGTACATGATATGTGCTGCTTAGGTTTCGGCACATCTGTGCTTGCGTTTCACCCAGTTAAGTGTGGGGAAGATCCTCAGGCAGAAGCTGATGGCCAACAGGGGCACCGCACCGTCTGCTGCACTTGCTTTCAGGCGCTTATTTTTCCATACACAGCACACACACACAAAGTAGCAGGGGCTGCAGCAGATGCAGAATCGCTCATGAGCTTTTAGAAACGACTGCTCCTACACCAGTTCCGCCAGTGAGGTCTGACGGCGGCTGGACAGTGCAGCTTTCTGGCCAGATGGTTTCATGCTGCTAGTTTCACTGCTAACGACTCAGCTATTGCGTTCGACCTGACTGCTTCATTACTCGCAACTGCAGTGGCTTGCCGCACCAGCTAGCTACTGTGGCCAACAAAGGACATTCCCTACATTTGAAACAGCGGTCTACACAAAGCCAAAATATGCGCAGCAGCAGAAGCAGCTGGCGTGCGTCTTGAAACCATTTTAAACGGGGAGGCAACCAAAACGGCAAACGAAACACCGAATTACGCGATACTACAGCAGCAACAGTGAATCCAGCAGCTGCTGCTGCTGCAGCGGTAGCACCCTTCAAGACGGGACTGAACGCTGCGTGTTCTAAATGAGACAGACCGAAAAGCAGCAGGTACAAGTGCTGCAGAAACGGCTTGCGGAGCAAATGAGTCTCCGTCGATGCCGCTAGCTAGCTAGCTAGCAGTGGGCTCCCTGGCTGAAGACACGAGACAGTCAGCTGGCTAGCTACGTAACATCCACTTCTTTCGCTGCTTACATGAAGTTGCAGTCTACCTGTTCTGCCGCCAACTTCATTTCCAATCTTTCTTTTCAGCTTTCTACCTGTCGCCGCTATCCCGAATTCCCCTGTGGGATTGGTGTTTGTGGCTGTGCTGCAGTAGCGACATCCTCTGCGGCCGCCTCTGCGGCCTCCGCGGCAGCACGATCAGCAGCAGCAGCACCCGGAATTGCCACCGTGTTTCTCCTCCCAGAAGCACCCAGAAGGCCCGACACCTGGTGTTGATTGGTCGGGTCAGTAAGAGTGACATCAGCAAATCTGATTCGCCCTGTTAAGTCTGCAGTTTTCCTCCTGTCCCAAGCAGCACCCATGGGAGATAAGTGAAGAGCTCCTGCTTTTGATGCTGCAACTGCTGCTGCATCTGCTTCCGCTGACGCACGGAGGATGCCGCTCTTTTCGAGACCACGATCTGCCAAGCAGCAAACAACCAAATAACTTATCTAATTAAGCAGGAAACTATGCTTCTTGGCGAAGACCCAATGCAGCACAAGGATAGCCGCAGCGACGCGTAGTGCAGCCGAGCAGCAACAGCAGCAACATCAGCAGCCGGCAGCAATTCGCGCTGACCTTTGGCCCTCGCAGCTGCAACAAGGGTCACAATATCTGCGAATCTTTGTGCGCCTGCGTGGGGTGTCCTTTGCTGCTGCTGGTGGCTAGCTGCTAGTTCTTTAGCAGCAGCCTTCCACAAACTCCTTGCCCTCTCCCGTGCTGCTGTTCCTGCGGTCTGTGCTGCTGTTCTGGCCCGGATCTTCCAAGCCTCTTCTTTTGTTTCCGAGTCTTCTGTACCAGGCACATGCCCCCCTAAGCAGCAGCAGCACCAGCAGGAGCACGGAAGCAGCAGCGTGGAGCAACAACAGCACCGGTAACAGGAGAGCATCACGGTGAACCAGCAGCAGCAGAAGCAGAGAAGAACCACCGCGCAGCGTCACGAAGCAACAACAGGGGCCGCAGCATCACAAACGGGCCATGCAGGCTTTGCGAGGGCTAGCGAATGAGATACGAGCGGGAAAGCACGGCGATTGTAAAGACAGCAGCAGCAGCAGCAGCAGCAGCAGTCGGTGCACATGCTTCAGCAGAGGGTGCTTGCCTTTCTCTGTGTCTATGAGCTCCTGGCGCAGCTGCACTGCTTTCTGGAGGCAGCCGGCGAGGCCGCCCATATCTTTGAAGGTCATTCGGCGGGTGACCCTTCGGACAATGGGCTCGGGGGTGGGCTCTCTGGGGCTGTCGGTGTCTTGGCTGCTTTCGCTGCCGGAGTCTGCTGCGCTGCCTCTGCCGCTGCTGCCTCCTGCTGCAGCCCCCCGCACTGCCCAGGGAAAGGAGCCTGAGTCCGAGCCCGAGCCCCAGTTGCGGGTGAGACCCCGAGAGAAGTTGGTGGTCATTAGGCGGTCCAAGGCGTTGCCTATTTCGTCCACGCCTCCTTCGGACTCTGCGCCGGACGCTTGGCGAGAAACTCCAGACGCGGGGCTGCTGCTGCTGCTGCTGCTGCTGCTGGAGTCCGAGCTCTTGAACGCCACCACACTCACTCCACGACGGCGCGGCTTAGAAGGTTCTACGGGAGAAGCCGCAGCTGCTCCCGCTGCGCCCGCTGCTGGAGATGATGAGATAGCCACATCTGAAGATTCGGAACTCAAAGGCTGCTGACATGATTCTGCTGCTGCTGCCTCTGCTGCTGCTTCTGGTGCTCTCGTGACCGGAGTGGCATCACCGTCTGCGCTGCCAGCAACAGCTGCTGCTATGCTGTCAGCATCTGGCTGATATTGCTCATGCTGCTGCATGTCTTGCAGCTGCTGCTCCTGCTCAGCTGCAGGCTCGGCTGGGGCTACTTCTGTGTGTTCACTCTCAGGGCACAGTTCACTCTCAGGGCACAGCTCCCATTGGCCAAGTGCCGTGTTATACACCCACCACTGCTGGGCTACGGAATCATAGTAGTACTGGGGCTCATCTGACTCCCCCATCGTACTCACCGTAGTAATGCTTTTCCACGCGCTGCTGCTGCTGCTGCGGCTGCGTTCTACGCAGCTGCTGCTGCACGTGCAGCGTCGCAAGCCCAACTCGCCGGTCAACCCCCTTCCCTGTGGCCGCACTTTACACTGGGGAGGCTAAAATTTACAAGAAATAGGAGGAGAGAGGAACATCAGCTTCACTAGCACGGTGATGCCACAAGAACCAGCGGCTTGCGCACAAGAAGCCCCTCCCAGAGTTACAAGAAGTACCGCTGACTGCGCTTGAAACAGAAACTCAGAAAAATAACAAGAGGGAGAAGGGATAAGTTCACACAGAGAGGAAGTGTGCGTGTACGCCTAGATATACGTAAAGGGTGGTCGTGTGTGGAACGAGCACCACGGCGGACACTAGGCCTCCTGTGGAGGCAGCATGCAGCTCCCCCTTTCCTTACTATAGAGGGAAATATCCCCTATGTTTTCAAATAGAGCTGGAAGGCTCGACTAAATGATAAGCGAAAACCCTCATGGAATCGAGCGTTGTCAACAGCCGAAGCACAGCGGCAGCAGGCGAGGCGGATGGGTACGTCAGCCTGGATTTTTTCGCGCGAAAGTCGAGCCTCACAAGCAAAAACATATGGACATTTCCCGCACTTAAGCATAAACATGCAATAATAATCAAGCGTTTCTCTTACGTTGGCAAGTTCCGAAGTCGCTCGACCTTACAGAGGTGCAGAGATACAATTGTGACAACAAAGAGAACTCGACTGTTAGTGGAGCGTTCGCTCACCCCACACTAAAACTCAGCGGCTTGGCACACCGCCAACCGCCTAATTTACGAAGAACGTTGGGAAAAAGCAGCAGCAGCGAGGTGCAGAGATACAATTGTGACAACAAAGAGAACCCGACTGTTAGTGGAGCGTTCGCTCACCCCACACTAAAACTCAGCGGCTTGGCACACCGCCAACCGCCTAATTTACGAAGAACGTTGGGAAAAAGCAGCAGCAGCAGCACCTGCATGCAAGCACGGCGACGGGTACTGGCCAAAGCCAAGAACGTTCCACTAAGAATTTAAAAATATTTAAACGAAGGCTTGAAACAGAGTTAGCATTTGTCGTGACTGCCTCTTAGCAGATTGTCTGCTAAGCCACCGTTTGAGGAGCTGACAGAGTCCCCATAACAGAAGACTGGCACAGGCCGCATCGGGGAAGGCTCTTTAGCAGAACTGTCTGGCGAGCCGCTGCCCCACCACAGCAGAGACAAATGCCAAGTCTGATTGCAGTTCTGTAAACTTTTCTGTAATCTGCCTTTTCCCGTCAAGTGGGGACTTCGTCAGCACCTCAAACGAAGCCCGGCACCGCCCGCATCGGGGAAGGCTCTTCAGCAGACTCTCTGATGAGCAGCTGCCGCGCCGCAGATGAGGCAAATGCCAACAGTCAAGGGGGGCAAAGAATTGCTTGCCGTTGCTACGTAGCAGTGGCAAGCGAACGAGCGGCTGAAGAAACTCGGGCGCAGGCACAAAAAGACTTCGTCAGCACCTCAAACGAGGCCCGGCACCGCCCGCATCGGGGAAGGCTCTTCAGCAGACTCTCTGCTGAGCAGCTGCCGCGCCGCAGATGAGGCAAATGCCAACAGTCAAGGGGGGCAAAGAATTGCTTGCCGTTGCTACGTAGCAGTGGCAAGCGAACGAGCGGCTGAAGAAACTCGGGCGCAGGCACAAAAATATACGCACGCCGCATGCTCCACCCCATCCGATTCACGCATTCTGGATCAACTGATGGATATGGGCAGGTTCACCAGTGCAAGGGTGTGTATACAGAGACAGCATGTTAACCCACCGGCAGAAGCTGTCCAGGGGCCTCCCTCTGCATATTTGAAGAAGGCCTCGCAAAAGGAAGGGTCCAACGCATTGCGCAGCCAGTCGCGTTGTGCTGCACAAGCTGCGGAGGCGAAGGCGTGCTTGGCCAGACGCACTGCGACCACATACAGATGACGAATCTAGTCTGCAATAGCGCATGCATATTAGGTTCATAGGCGTTTATACCTCTGCACACCATTGCGTAAAGTTAACGTCTATGAATCTATGAATCTAGTTCACAAATTAAACGTACCTTCGTACTCAGTGTCGCTAGAGGGGTCCACCATCAGCTGCCTGAAACCCTCTGATGCAAAGAACATCTGCATGGGCTCAGCATCAACCGAAAGAGCTGATACACAAACGACGCACATTGCACATACTGCAAAAACCCTGCGAAAACTTTGCATTAGTTTCGAAAGAAACCCGAGGAGAACAGCGTAAGCAGCAGCACACAAGCATTGGCAGTGGCAGCCAGCAGTAGTGTTCTCCTGGCGCTGAGGGTGCCGGCTGCTGTTTCAACAGCAACGGAAGCTGAACCTACCCTTAAGCAATTCGTAACATTGCTGACGAGCCTCAGGAAAAGGCCGCTGAAGAACGCAATCCAGCAACTGCATGCAAACGCAGCCAAAGCGGGCAGCAAGTACCCGGAAAAGCAGCAGCGACCAGCACAACCAAAACAGCAACCAGCAGGTGGCCAAAAGTTCCAGCAGCAGCTGTGATACTTGCCTTGGATGCTAGATTGGAATCTACTGTCCGTTTCAGTTGCTGTGGCAGCACTGCAGGGTCCTTGCTGCAGCGCCGCGCAGCATTAGCATGACATCAAACGGCAACTCAACCCAGAAGAACTCCAGCAGGGCAGCAACAGCACGACAACAGCAGCACGGGCAGCAGCAGCAGACGAAGAAACCTACACATCTTGCAGCACGCATGACCACGCGCGGAGTGCAGCGACAGACACATCCTCCACATCCATTACCGCCTCCGCCACCTGAGAGGCACCAGAAACGCGAGGCACTACGGCTGCTTATTCTGCTGCATTACGCCTGCTCAAGCAAGCTGCAGGAACGTCAAACAACGAAGCAGCACTACTTACCAGATCTGCAGATGACGGTAGCTGCTCTAGCACCGTTGCCGAGCACTCTGTCTTGGAGAAAAGAATACTCCAGCACACAATTCCTTCTTCCTGCAGCGGCAGAAGCAGCGCCACAGCCGGCCACAAAAAAATGAAGACTTCCAGAAGCCTTGCAGGAATACCGGCAACCCTGTCTAAGCTTCTGGAAGTTTTCGGACCTTGTGACGTTTGGAAGATGACGTGAGGCAAGTCTGCAAAGCAAGCAGCCAGGAGCAGCAACAGCAAGAAGTCTAGAGAGCAACAGCCAGTGCACTAACAGCCAGGAGCAGCAACAGCAAGAAGCCTGGAAAGCAACAGCCGGTAGGTAGACGTCACAGCAACAATACCACTCCTAGTAATAGCCACTGGTAGTAACAGCAACAATAACACGCCTAGTAATTGTTGGGCGGGGAAAACGAACCTCGATAGCGCTTTTCAGCACTCCTCCCTCGGCGTTGAGTATCCTACTGCACTCAGATGGCCGCTTCAGAAAGGCACACACCACAAGGTGAAGCACACGACAAACCAAAGCCATACACTACAACCAAGGAACTGAGGAAGTGCAGCCACTGCAGCAGGCCAAAGCAACGCTAAACAACAGAAGCCGGAGTAGATGCAGCAGCAGCAATAGCAGCAAACCTCGACGGCCATGCGACATAACAGTCTTAGCAGTGTCTGACTGTTTAACACATCTTCCTCTGTGGCAATGAGCCTGAGCAACTCAGCAGTGACAAAGACCCCACCGATGCGAGCGTAGCAAGTGCAGCAACCGCAGCAGCAACAGTAGCAGTGGCAAACCCCTCACAGCAGTTGCAGCAACAACAGAAGCATCACCAACAATACCTCGCAATTCGCTCGGGATATTTGTTCCTAACGGCGTAGTCCGCTCCCCAGGAGACGCTTACTAGCTAGAACAGTAGCACCCATACACAGCAGCAGGCACACGCTGGACCTGTTACTACCTTTGCATCTAACGCTGTTTATGCAGCCATGGAACACAGCAGCAGGCACACGCTGGACCTGCTACTACCTTTGCATCTAACGCTGTTTATGCAGCCATGGAAAGAGGGAAAAGAGCCGCGGAAACAACAAGAGCAGGCATGCTAGGACAGCAGTGGCAGCTCCCACGGCACTGTTATCTGACCGCAGATAGCAAGTCGCTTGCATTTGCCTGCAACAGCGGGTCCTTATTGTTTTCAACCAGCTGCTGGAGCCGTGACAGCATTTGGGGAGAAGCAGCAAGAAGGGCGGAAAAAAATGACTCGTGCTGCACTGAGCCGTGAATTAGCGGACTCAAAACCCTGAATGAAACAGTCTGTGAGGACACCACAAGCACAAAACAAAGCGCAGATCCTGCAGCTTCCATTGATGGAGCAGCGGCTTCAGAATCCGCGATCTGTCCTGCTCCTGCGGTGTTTATACAGACAGTTTGCTTCGGGGTTTGCGGTTTTCGTGCATAGCCGATCGAAAGAAGAAACCCAGGAACGCTTAAACCCTGGAAAATGACCGACGTCAGGTGACTCCATCGCCAGCCTCTGCAACTCGCCGAAGAATGCGCCTTCAAAAACATAACGAGGAGCGGAATCTGCCGCGCACACCTGCACACAAGCAAATCTAGTTTTAAGAAGCAGGCAAGTTTTTAAGGCTAGAGAGCCGCACATCGTGACATGGAAAGTTTCTGCTCTCAAGGCTATTGGCACCTGACTTGCTGCTGCCACTGCTGTTTCTAATATCGTGGCCGTTTATGTCTAACTTACTGCTGCTAGTGCTGTTTCTGCTCTCATGGCCACTGATGTCTCTGCGTCTCCGAGGAGGGAAATGAGCTGCCTGTTCAGCTCCAGATTCCACAAGTACCGTATACCTGGGGCAGCAGAAATAACAGGCTTGGCGCTGGCAAGCTCCAGCGCAGAAACAGCAGGGCAAGAGTAGCAGCGCAAGCCCAAAAGACGCAGCCAGTGCTGTCTAGACTAACAAGACTGGTATCTTGTTCCTGGCTGACCTGAATCACCCTTTTTGGCTATCTGGTGCAATTGTGTAAAGACTGGTATCTCGTTGCTGCCTGACCTGAATCACCCTTCTTGGCTATCTGCTGCACTTGCTGCGCCAGGAGTTCTCTTATTGCTGTCAAGGGGCTCGCAGCAGCCGCAGTCAGCAAAGGCCTCATCTGCATCGGCAGGAGAGCAGCAACGCGTATCATATTAACAGGAAACAGAAAAGCAGTGGCGGTGACGGCGCCTTAGGCGCGGCATGATTCAGTAAAACGGGAATGTGGTCAGAGCCGCACCTCACTTTGCGCCAGTATTGAGTCCCTGAGTTCTTCGACATCAAAGCACCTCTTGATGGTGCTCAACAAAAATGTGAGGAGCTGATTCAGGTCCGCTAGGGCATCTGTGTCTCCTTCTGCTGCTGCACGCTTCGCAGCAGCAGCAGCTGCCTCCTTCTCTGCTGCTGTGGTAGCATGCTGCTGAAGAGAGATAGCATCAGCCGCCGCTGCCGTCTGCAACAGCAATTCACTTGCTGAAATCTGCTGTAACAAAGAAAGGACACGTTCACGAGAGTTTGGGCCTACACAAAAGGCCTGTAGGTCAGAAAGGCCCAGACGCCGATAGCCGAGGCTTCCGCTGCTAGTTGCGCCGTCCTCGTTGGTGCCAGACATGTTGACACTCGTGCTACTGGCACAGATGCAAAAGTTACTTCAACTTGCAGTGGTAGGACCACCACTACGGCTGTCGCCGCTTCTTGGTCTGAGCTTGCTGCAACACACGTTATTGCTGCTGCTGCTGCTGCTGCTGCCCCATAAGTAATCCTCCAGCACTCTACAAACGACTATCCTCCAGTAACATGCAAATCCCTGGTTTAATTTGTTTGGCGAAAATTTTACACCTTCGTTTCGGGATAAGCATCAGCATGCACGTGCACACGCCAGCTGAGCGCCAAGCCAAGTGGGCCCCAAAGGAGTACGCGAGCAACAGCTCGAGACAAAAGCATTATGTATACGGTGACCTACTGCAGATGATACTCTACGAAAAAGTACGTACTGCAATATGCATAGTGGAATCCGCACAACTAATTGCTTTGCTGAGAAGCAACATGCACGGGGGGCGGTGGTCCAGCACTAGACCCCAAGACATTTGTCAACACTTGGCGTCGACCATGAGCGGGAAACCTAAAGTAGTAGTTTTGCCTCCCCCGCGACGATGTAGTTCGTGGGCCATCCTGGATCGTCATCAGGACGCCTTCCAGGCTCTGTGTCCAGGGCAACAAACAGCAGTAAGGCCCAAGAACGAACTGAAGCCGAACCCAACCTCCCCAAACACGGGCTTCTACAGAAAGCACGTATTCTACGTCACGCTTGCATTGCTCCCCTCCTGCCGGCCGGTGTGACGTATTCTACGTCACGCTCGCATTGCTCCCCTCCTGCCGGCCGGTGTGAGCCCTCATCCCTTTGCAATGATCAAGCAAGTTCGCCCGTGTACGATCCGCGTTGGAAAACAGCACCAGTCACACGGAAGGAGCTGTTAACTAGGTAACTGAGAAACTATACCACTGAAAGCTGGTGTGAACTAAAACCACTCAGGGTCCAACGACATGGCCTCCACTCCCTCCGTGAGATCAGCCGCCACCAGTAGTGCAGCACTATCGCCACAGCGCCAGTCAAGGCAGAACCCAAGGCAGCACGACCCAGGGCACGCCCGAGACAACGCGCAGGAGGGCTGTATGCACAGACTACAAAAACACCGGCGTAGGCAAACCCCCTTCAAGCGTCCAGCGGATCTGTAGCTGCTCGGCAGCCACTGTAGCACCTGCGAAGCCGCTACGAAAGAAGAAACGCTAAACTGCCTACCAGCGCCACTACGAAACTGCACAACTGGGACCTAAAACCGACAGCCTAAACTGCCTATGTGTGCACCTACAAAACTGTACCACTGACGTGACGACTAGAAATCGTAAGCGAAACGTCCGATGCACTAAAACTATATTGCGTGAAGCAACGCGTTGCAAACCACCAACCGCACAGCGACAGTAACGAACTAATGCCGTCATTGCCGCAGTAGAAAATGAATTAAAAGTTAAAACAGTCCGAAAGAACTTAGGCGGAACGCCAAGCGCATGTCGCGGCACAGGCAAGCCCAGGAAACAAGCAAGCTGCGAAAGTGGGCAACGGCATCAACAGGGACAAAAGCCAACTCCGCTCACTCACTGAATCGTTTGAAATAGCACCTAGAAAGCAAAACTCCACGCGCAGAACAAGCGCATAACAAACGCCAGGCGCAGTCAGTTCCCATCCAGCGTCTGACGTATTAAAGAGCGCGCACCTCCTGTAGTAAAAAAGAACGCAACCGCACATAAGCCAAGCCCTCCAGCTCCCCGACACGAGGTCATGCCTAAACGCTGCCCTGGTACATTGAACAGCCCTTGCCGGGGTTATCCGCGCACGTCCTCAAAAACAATAAAGATGGAAGACACATACGATTTTCCAAAAGAAAGAACAAGTGCTCACGAGTCCATGCCTGAACGCTGCCCTAGTACAACGAACAGCCCTTCCCCAGAACATCCGCGCACGTCCTCAAAAACAATAGACATGGAAGAAACATACCATTTTCCAAAAGATTGAACAGGTGCATAGCAAACGCCAGCCGCAGTCAGCCTACAGGGAGAACCTCATCCGGCGTCAGACGTATTCAAGAGCGCGCACCTCCTGGCGTGAAAAAGAACGCAAGCGCGTTTAAGCCAAACCCTCCAGCTCCCCGGCACGAGTTCATGCCTGAACGCTGCCCTGGTACAACGAATAGCCCTTGCCGGGATTATCCGCGCACGTCCTCAAAAACAAAAAAGATGGAAGACACATACGATTTTCCAAAAGAACAAGTGCTCACGAGTCCATGCCTGAACGCTGCCCTGGTACAACGAACAGCCCTTTCCGGGATTATCCACGCACGTCCTGAAAAGCAATAAACATGGAACATACATACGACTTTACAAAAGAAAATGCGCGAACTTCCAAAATAAGTTCAGCCGCAGCACGCCCACGAAACCTCCAAACACCCAAGCTACTCAGTTGTTCCTAAATCACCGCGAAATCCTTCCAGCATGAGACGCGCCCCCTGACTCCCGAGCAGCGGAACGCACTCCCTGTAAAACAAGCCCAAGCACAAATATCTAGGTTGTCTAGGGTTGTGAGATGCAATCAAACAGTAGCACCCCGCCCAAGACAAAGCCTTCAGAAAGTTCCGACGTATGAAAATGGCGTACTGGCTGCAAAATAAACCAGATGCAGTGACCATCATTCGACAAAACTCCCTAAGGAAGGATATTACGACCGAGGTGAACAACCAGCCGATTTCAGCAAAACACCCAGGGAAATCACACACAGATCGGGAACAACCCCCATCCGCTCCAACCACACAGGCAAGGGCGACGCTGATTCTGAGTAGCGGCCAACCAGCGCACACCTCCTAAGGATTCTAATCCAATCCGGCCGAGCTCACACCGTGAACAGAGAAAGTGCCTCAATCGAAAAACGGTGTAGCTCAGCGGCCGCGAAATACCGCCCCGTATTGGCGGTGGCAGTGAGAGCTGCGACGCACTCCCTACGAACGCCGTACAACTGCCATAGCCCCTTTAATCCGTTTCACTGTCCCCTCTGCAGCCCCGCCCGGTTGCCCCAGTCCAAATGGATCAAAACACATTCATCTAATTAGGGGGCTTGGTTGCTCAGCAACTTTAATGCGCAGTTTGATATTTCCAGTTTACGGCCACCACCGTTCTGGAACCGTGTTAAGCTATTCATGAAATTGCTCCGCTGCCAAAAAGGTTTTGGTGTGCTATTGAAATTGAGCAGCGCCACACCTAAGCATCTGAGCAGCCCTTGGGAACCCAAATATTCAGACAAAAGGTTGCAGGCAACCATGGTACTTCTGGGAACAGAAGTTGAGCAGTAAAACGCACGCTCTAGATACCGAAGCAGGTTGACCCAGCAATTGCGTTACCCCCACAAACCCTCTCTTCAGCCCTCTGCCATACAAATTAGTGTCCATGACGAATACCGCCGGTAAAGAGCTACATCTATCGAGCATACTCTCTAAAGAAGTTGTAAAGCAGCTCAAAAATACATGGGACGTAAACAAGGCACTTCCACGAACTTCCCAGGATTCACGTGTCCCAAAAGTGCTAGCCTGCAAACACTCAGACGCACAAACTCCTGGAACCGCCATTGATGTTGCACAAAGTTTCCTGCTGACACTGGCCCATTGACCAAATACGAGCTCAACGCTAAACGGAAACCATCCTCTTCCTTACGGTCTGAATTACGCAGTGGCGCTCGCAGCAACCGTCTACCTTCCACTGGAGTCTAAACTACGACTATCACTGCAATGCATGGGCGCCGATGGAGGAGCTGATCATCCAACAACTCTGCAACCACTTACATCCTGACACGAGGAACAACAGTGTTGGAAAAGCTTTCTCGACCTTGCTAGAAAAAGCTTCATTATTTCTGCAATATACTGCTCCCGCCCTAGGGGAATCATAATTTCCATAATCCAGAAACTCCGGCAATTCAAGCGTACCGGCTGCACTCAACAACGAATTACATTTCACGTGAAAGCAGCTTGCTTCCTCCTCCGCAACAACTCGTCGCGCAGGCATTCACATCACCAACGTACTTGCTGCGGCAAAAAGGGACCACAAAGCACAGTTCGCCTATTACAACGATGTGCGGACAAAAACACTGAAACCAGAATAAAACAAGATCCACCGCACTTACAGTCTGCATGCGTATACACAGGCACGATGACGAATTCCCTATAACAAACGCAATTTCACTCGCGTCAGTCACCTTCGTTTCCATATACGAACTCACTAGCTGGACAAAAAGTGATATGCCCTCGGTAATATGAACTTTGATACACCCCGCTAAGGTGGCAATGGATCTTCCAACATGCTTCTAACTTCGCTTTCTGAGCGTCGCATCATTTCCTTACCATCTGCGTTACCGACAAGCAACACACATTGCCGAACTATATCCAATATCCATATCCGAAATCGTCATCAGCTTAGCCGTCTAAACAAGCGCCATGCATTAAATTTCAATGTAGAACTTACGCCCTGTCAGCGATGCTCAGATTGATGTAAATTAGTCAATTGTCCCCTTGATATCTCTCCCCACGCCTCCTGAACAGCCCGCTTTCGAAGTACTTACGATCTGGCATTTTTAAAATACAGCTCGCGATTTTGGAGAAAATATTTCCGTGCCCCCTTCTGATGCAAAAGTCCAGTCATCGCGTCACAAAATGCTTACAACCTGTGAAATATGCAAGTCCACCCAAAACCGGATGACGATCTGATCCAACATCCCGCCACCTCCCTTAAGTCCTCTTAAACTACCAGAATATATGACCCTATCCGTACGGCCTGTTTTCACCATTGTCCATTCCTCAAGTCCTATTTCATGTTCTTTCGACCACACCAGTCCACTGCCTACGCACTGCACTAAGCGCAACGCAAAAAGAACCTCCAACACACGGTCTATAATGAGAGCATACTCCAAGCATTAAAACCACCTTATTGTCCACCGCGCTCTTAGTAGGATGCCTCGGCAATGCGCTTGAAAACTCTGCGAATTGCTCACAATCTTCATGGGAAGACACAAGCCGC